CAGATACTGGGCCGTAATTCCACCTTTCAGATACAAAGAGCAGATCTGGCATCCAGCCAGCAAGACACCAGATAATTTCTCTGCCCTCTTCCCCATCACTGCTGAAATTTAGCGAAGAGACTTCACTGTCCAACAAAACACATCTGTGACCTAATACTGCCTTCAGACTCCTTTCTTTACTAACAACTAACTCATCCTATCACACCTACCACAAACTCTAATCCTAGAAACCCGCAACAGTTATTTCAGTAATCCTTTTATCTTCAAAAGACAACTTCCATACAGTCACCCAGCAAGCTTTCCCTTACTTACCTGGAGCACCTTCACTGCTGCTCAGCACCACTTCATTGCTGGCACTTTTACCCCCGCACGAGTGGATGGAATACAACAAAAAGCCTGCTGTCAGGAACCCAGCGTTTCCACTTTCAGTAGAAAGTCAGGCTGGGCACAGCCACCAATCTACCTAACAGTTCCAGAGACTACAAACTCCTGTTCTCCTAGGTCCCTAGACATTGCACCTTTTCAATTAAAATCATGCCGTTTTTTCATCTCCATGTACTACTAATGAAAGATGGCAAGCAGAGAACATAAGCAAAACTTTTAGATATGAAATAAGCATATACTCTGATTAATGAAAATGCAGAGAATTTTCCATTTTTTGGTGATCACCATTTAACTGACCTTCCTCCTATAGTGCTCTAAGTATATATTCCTTTATATATATATCCCTTTCTTCTTCCCTTTCCTTCTCCCTCCTGCCACCTTCCTTCTTTCATTTCTCTAATCTAGTCAACCCCTTTTTGAAATTTTTCTCAATAAAATAGTTTTATTCTTCCCCATATGAAGCTATAGTTTTTCTATTACACAATAATTTAGGTTGGAATAGACCTCAATGGATCCAAGTAGGTCTGAATAATTTTAGATGAGGTATCCAAAAGAAAGAAAAGCAACTTTCAGATGCTTAGAAATAATTGTAGGAGGAGCCTTCAGGGATAAAAGGTAATAAATGAAATATAAAATGCTGCATTTTGGGCTACAATAGTAAAAGTAGTTGGAATACACTGAATGAATGCTTCTTGTAAAAATGACACTAATGAGCCCTTGCACCTATTTCCAAAGAACACACTGTATCTCCCTGATTATTGTGCATGGCCACATAACTCTCTCCTTTACCTATTGTAAAATTATTCAGACAGATTATTTGTAACTTTATAAAGCATCAGCTAACCTTCAGCAAAATGTCTGAATGATCTGTAATTGGAGATTCTAAGTACCTTCAATCCTAACATAAAATATGCATTTTAGGCCATATATTTTGAACAAATTAAAAATATGGATGAACTGCAAAGTGTTTAGAAACATAGTTCCTAACCATGTGCTTAATTTTCCACTGATTTCCAATATGATATAAGCTTTATTCCAGTGGTAATTAAAGAACTTAAACCAAAATTAGATACTTAAATAATGTTACAGACTGCAGCTTATCTGTAATTCCTCTTTTGTACTTTCAGAGAGTAATGAATCAGTAAGCAGTATAATTATTTTAATTTCACTAACATTTTGTTATCATTTATTAGTTCAAACAACAGATTTTGAGCTAGTCTTACTAACCTCCTCGAGCAAAGCTATTGGATAGATTTACATCCAAATGTCCTGGCACTACCTGCTTAAACACAGTAGACATTCTTGAAGCCCTTCTTTCAGTGCCTAAAGTCAGCCAAAAAAAGAATAGAAGATTAAAAAACTACAGTGTTACTCAGACTAACACTTAATATAAATGATAGAATTTCCCTTTTCCCACAATACAGCTAATTCTTGCCAATTTTGTACTCCAGATTTATTTTTTAGGACAGACACACACATTGGTGGCAGCATGGAGACATTAGATATAGCCGAGCAATCAACATGTTTTACAGTAAATGAAGCAAAGCATGCACACTTTGGGAATGGTGTTATTTTACAAGAAAAGCCACTGTTTGACTATATTAGGCAAATTACCATCAACTGAATAAGACAGAATTTCAAGTCACATACTTCGCTTTGTAAGACATTGGGGTTATCATCACTTAAGCCTTACCAGTTTTCATCATGTAATAACTGAAATAAACATGGATTAATTTCTTCATTGCTCCACATATGCATAACTCAGTCTAGTTTGAAAGAGTTTTCACTGCAAGTAAAGCTCTACTTGGGAATGACATTAAAAGCCTGTTATGAATATGTAACACATGCAGATGCCCATGTATGTTTCACTGCTGCTGCAGCAAACAGTCTATTTGTTCATGTGGAATCTGAGCTTGCAATTTCATATTTTCCCAGCATATGAAATGGAGTAATATTTTGCATTCTCTTCAATTTGTCAGTCTCTTATTCAATACAGTTTTCAATTGTTATAAAAGACTTTGAAGTGCACCTTTGCTTTTGATTCTTTTATATAATGTAATTGTTATATTTGATATAAGAAAACCCAACAACCTGGAAAGTTTTGGCATCTGGATGTTCTGGAGAACTTTTTGGAGAACTTGCTCCAGAATTGTCCTAAATTACTAATGCCTCAAGATTGGCCATTGTACTCAAGTGAATTTCATCAAAACCTATGACACACAGAAGAATAATCATTCACTGTCAGATTAAGAATATGGAAAAATATTTTGGGAAAGAATAAAAACATCCTTTACATACGGAAAACGTGTTCACTGAAACTAAGAGTGAATAAGCTATCTGGGAAGTGTAATAATAAAGAACAGCCAAATTCATATGGGACACGGAACTAACATCAAATCAGAGGAAATGCCCTTTGTAAGGGAACCATAGAAAAGCACAATATAAATGTATCTTACCTGGAGACAGAGCAATTGTTGGTCTAACTGTGAGAGTATTACTGCCATTCATTTTGCAGTGGACGGATATTACATTCAGTAAGGCTTGTAGGTATTTTTCCTGTTCTATACTGCTTGAAGATTCTAAAGAAGCAGGAGCTAGAGTCACAAGAAGAATGGAATACACTGAACTACAAGTACATTTATAAATACATAGAAAAGCAAAAGAAAATGTTTATTATGTAAAGCATAGCATTGAAAATGTCACGGTTTGTCCATCAAAGATTCAAAAATCTACTTTTGACGACAAAAATGCCCAGATGTTCATCACCTGGCTGCAGAGCATCACCCTGCAATGTTATCTTGCAATTCCACTCCACAAAGCTAAACTTCTGAAAGAGTCTGTTACCTCACTGTCACTACTTAAAAGATTAATCACTAGCCAGTGATCACTATGAACAGAATGGAGTTGATGTAATTTTCCCTTCACTCTCAGAATGAAAAGTAACATTTCTAAGTTTGTGCTACTTGTCAGCAAATGTCAGCCTTTCATACTCAACCAGCTCTTCCTTATTCCAATGAAGGAAGGTTACTCACCTATATCTGGAGGTTCATTGAGATATATTGCCCTTTCATGTACACTACCCCCAGCATGTGTCCCTTCTAATGGAATAAAGAAGAGAGGATGGACAGTGCATGCACACTTGGATAACAGGTTAAGGGATCTCCAATTATGAAATGCAGCGTTCCTCTTCCCTAGTGACAGTCCACCTGCTCCTTCACCAGGAGGTAACTTCAGGAAGCATCCTCCCACATGTTTAGGTAAGTTGTAGGACCGGGGTCTACACCATGGTGACAATTCCTTCTCTGAAAACCTCTAAATAATTTTTTACACACATGTAGTTTCGGACAACTACACATGTCAGAAACAGAATAATTTTCCAATTATTACTGATGTTGCTTAAGTTGATGGAGACCTGGAGAAGGACCATTTCAAAGAGAGAGAAGTGGCTGCAAAAGACTGGATGAACGCAAAGCCAGAGAGGAAACAGACAGGTGAAAAAAAAGAGGGTGGAGAAAAAAAGATGCAAGATGAGAAGGTATAATGCCCTGAGAAAGTACTAAAGTTAAATACAGAGTCCACTTAAGAAAATCTTAAGACTGAAAACAGTTAAGAAACCAATAACAAAACACAGAACCAAGGGAAAAAAAAACTCAAAAAATAAGAAAAAGAATTAATAAAAAAAATCTTAACCAGAAAAACTCCACTCATTGGTGTCCAGGTGCAAGGACTTAAAGCAAGGGAAGGACATAACGGTCAGGTCTTGGGCCATACTGTGATGACAAAAAAGTGTCCAGTCTCAGTATGGAATAATAGAGTGTCAAAGAATTTGATGAATCACAATGGTAACCTATAAATGGTTTTCTACATTGATGATCCAATCAGATTTTATGCTGAAGACTAATAGACAGCAACCTAATTAGCTGGAGGTGGTAAAAAAAAAATTCAAAATAGTCCTGTGAAAATTAGTATCTACATAGTCCAAATTAAGCATCTGAATTGAAAGTACACTTAGGAAGTGATTAGAAAATGTACATTCAGGAAACTTCGTGCTGTTTCTGTCTGACAAAGGGGAAAAAGTCTGAAGAAAAACATTTTCTCTTCAACTCTTGAGCAGGGTTTACACATCCTGAAATCCACTTGAATGCTCTCTAGGACTCTCCAAGTCCTTGAAGCAATGCCATAAAAAGTCAGTTTAGGTCTTAACAATTTAGTTAAATGAAAAGAAATGAAATGCCTAAATTAAAGGATAATGTCCTTATCACTTGCACTTACAATGTTTTCTTTTGTGGAGAGTAGTATGTGTTTTAGGAAACAGACCCAGAAAACAAATAGCTTGACTTATATGAAAGATACTGGCAGGCTGCTGGGAGGGAGCAGACCCAGTACCAGACCTCTCAGGTGATAAGAAGACCATTTTCTAGAAATCCAAAAGGTGAAGTTCAAGAGGTTCCTGAACTGGGCATATATCTGAATTAAAGACTGAGGGTGTGGCAAACGAAATTGCTTTTTTTTCTTTTGCCTTCAATCATGTCCTTGTGAAGGACTAAACATAGAAAATTTGCCCTTCATCCTTACCACCAATTATCCCACCACACAGTGCTCAACAGCAGTCTAAAGCCATGGTGCTCAAAGGATGAACGCCTTACCTGCATAGGTGAACAGGGATTCCTATAAAACGACTCAACTTTTAAGTGCTGCATCGTACACAAAGGCCATTAAAAAGCAAGGATTTAAACAGAAGATGGGGATGCCAATCCTGTTAGCAATTTTATAAATACCAGGAAAAAAATGCAACGCTTAGTAATGTAATAAGATTGCCTCAGCTGCTAATATGTGCTTTATATGCCTGGTTGCAGGTTGCTCCATCTTCATCTTAAAACAGGCCCTAAAATACTTAAGTCATGTAATCTTCAGACTACTTTTATGTGACTTGGACATACTTGTCCAGTATGCTTGTTTCAGGTTTTGAAAAATTCTATAGAACAAACTATTCCATAGAGTCAAACCTTTTAATTACATTTTAGTCATTACTGGGGTGAAACAAACAGGACTGAGGAATTTATTTGCTAACTTAATGAGTTCCTGGTATTCTAATTCTACTTCATATTTTCTTTTTCTCACAAAAGAAAAATTATGGCCTAATTCTAGAATAATTTCTAAACAAGTCAGAGAAAACTGACTTTTTCTTCAGCAATATGCCAAATTCACTCTTGGCATGAAATTAACTCCAAAGAACCCATCAGCAAGAGAGATGGAAATCTAGGTAGTCACAGTACATATCCTAAACACTGCCTGTGAACGACGAAAGTCAACCAATGTTCTTTCCAAAATTAAGTGCTGCCCTCATCATAAATTCTTTGGAAAAGACAACTATCCTGACAAATCTTGTGCTGTCCCCATCTTCATCACACAAAGGAAGAGATTTACTTAACGCAAAGTCCCAAACCAGAATCTTTCACGTCTATGATTTATAAAAGGAAGATAAAAGATAAACTAGAACTGCAATGAAAAACATGACAAAATCCAATGTATAACGGTCTCTCTCAATATTTTCTGTAATCCTCTATTAAAAGGGACAACATACTCGCATTACACAAATCAGTGCAAAGGAAAAAGATAATTAAAGGGAAACAGAGAAAGTTGGCATTGCGTTTGGCAGATACCAGCTTTTACCAAAGACATCTGGTAGGTATTTAATCTCCGTTCAAATTATTCATTGACACTTTATGAACCACTTGCATACCATTCATGATCTGCAGAGTAACTAAAGTGAACTAATTACAGCAGGAAACCATTCATACCCTCAGACATTTGATTCAATCACTTCACTGATTTCCTGTAGGAAAACAAGTATTTCTACATAAAATTACTTGTACAGACAGCCTAGCTGCATCAACTCACCTGTAGTATTTGTGTTTTGGGATTTGAAGAGGCCAACAACACCTTTTCCATGAAAGCCCCCAGATCTAAGTAGAAGAGTACTGTTCTTAGTGTTCTTCCAACAGACAACTGGTAAGCGACTGTGCCGGTAACAGCGAGCAACTCTCTGCAGACTGCTGTCCTGAATGGACTGAGGTACTACCAGAAGCCCAGGGTAACTATATTGACAAAAAGGGGAAAAAAAGGTGAAAAACAATTAAAACTGCTTTTATATTTTTAAACAATGAAAAAAAAATTCCTACAATTACAAGCTGAATATACATCTTATATGAAAATACACCTCAACTGTTAGAACTATTTTTTATTTAGTAACTCTCATTTTTAGTCTAATCCTAGGAAACGCATTAATTTGTGCATTTTAAAACCAACTTTAATTATGGAACATTTTTAAAACTATCACTACTGGTCTCTTTCTATTTAAAGTTATATTTTATTTGGTACTCACAATAATTATGTTGTATTTTTTAGCCTGACAAGAGAATTCTGAGGCATGCAAATGATGTAGTAGTTTTGTTTTGACACTCATGTATGCAATATGAGAATTGAAAGGAAAGTATGCTAGATTGCCTGAAGTATCATAACTAGAACAATAGTTTTTTGTTTATATCAAAATATATTTAAATTTTACAGTCAGATTCCTTGAAAGAGAGTATTCAAAACTGCATTTTTGTGTGCTTTTTTAAACACTGCAGCACATTGAGAGACGAGGAAATTCACTGATACAATAACCTTTAAAAATAGAAAACCCAGCAAGCCAGTAGTTATGTTCATGTTAGTGAAGGGAATATTCAAGCAATATCAAAGATTATTTTCCATGTCCTCCCAAAAAATCTTCAATTTAAGTGCCAATTTCATATCTTAAGCAGAAACTGAGACAAGAAGCAGGGAAATATCAGTGCTTACTAAACACCTTTGTTTCTCTACAGTATACATTGCACCTGTAAATTCATGTCTTTGACATTTATTGAACATCCCTCATACAAAAATCAATATACATAATACAGTCTATCACTTAAAACTCAGTAACCAAACTACTATGGCAGTACATAAGTATTTATATCCTGATATTTGTAATCCACTCAGATACTAATTTTTTTTAAAAAACTGGTGGGTTTAGGGGAGGAAAGAGTTGTGTGCATAAAGTTCAGAGCGTGATGTACAGATTTAAGGCCTTCATCTGCATTGTATTCAATGCTGATTAAGCAAAATGAGTTATTAGTCTGTTACCGTAGGGAAAACAGAAAACAAGAAAGGATCTAGTACTTTTCTTTTGTGCCCTTCTTCCATGAAGAACAAGTGATTTCATGATCCACAATGAAAACAGTGACTAGCCAAAAACAGCTTTACAGTATACAAATGTTCTTCTGATATAACTCAGGCAGATATGGTTTTGTATTAAAAAGAATTTTTGTGGGTAGTGATAGTAAGCTACATCAGCTTTCACAATAAAAAAGGAGTTAGTAACATTCATGTGCTAAAACACAGCATGTAACCTGCAGCACATGACAAACTTTTAAAGTAGTGTAGTAGTAGTAGTAGCTAATGAATTCAATTTTAAAATGTATTTTTTATTAGAAGAAAATAGTTATGTATAGTTGTTTCTGAGGCTTACTTTCTTATTTAGGAACAGAATAGATTTTGTATGCAAATACAGTACACAAATAACTTCCAATGACAACACAGCAAGTTACAGAAACCATACCATGAGAGTGAGTTCTACCAGGTAACAATTGGTGGAGTCAGAAAGCTGAAAAATAGCCTAATGATTTAGACATTAATGTAGAAAGCCAAGAGGCAGAACACTCCTTCAAAAGACAATTCAGATTATATACATTAGTCTCCTCCAAAAGCACAAGATGGCCCAGCACCCTGTTCAGATGAATCTTAGAAGTGTCCAATGATGGGGAATCTGCCACTTCCCCAGGGAGATTATTCCAATGGCCAACTGTTGTCACTGTGAGAAATTTTCTTCTTATGTCCAATTGCAACCTCCCCAGGAGTAACCCACACCCATTACCCCTTCTCTTTTCCATGTGACTCCTTGTGAAAAGGGAGTCTCCATCTTCTTTGTAGCCACCCTTTAAATACTGGAACATGGTGATAAGGTCTCCCCTAAGCCTTCTTTTCTCAAGGCTGAACAAACCAAATTCTCTCAGCATTTTCTCATGTGGTAGCTTCCCAGTCCTTTGATCATCTTTATGGCCCTTCTCTGGACTCTCTCCAGCCTGTACACATCTTTTTTGTGAATCTGAGTGGAACACAAATACCTTCAAGATCACTGGTTGAACACTCCTACTGTAGACAAAAATTTTCTAAGAATAAGTTGCTTAAATGGATACATCACACTGTATGTGTGTTACATCACCTTTACTTTCAGCTATTACTTGACTAAACTAGTAAACTCACCTCCTGCAAAGTGAATACATCCTGTTCAGTGCAGTTATTCTTAAGTATTCTGTTTTTGAGCGTGAAGAGTTACTACTGATGGTCCCTAGTCCCAAACGTTGATAGTCTCTGAAACAGGCCCTTTCTACCAACTGCTCCATTGTTGATTTTTCTGAAGCTTTTAGGGTACCACTTGTGTGCAGCTCACTGTCATCTGAAACTGAAGTTAAACATCTTTTAAGAGTTTGCTATTGGGGAGGCCAGCAGCTACACAGAAAACAATGTTATTTTCATCTGAACAAAACATTTTTTGTCTTACTGTCAGTGACAAATGACAAGAACCAATACATACAAACCACAGTTTATAGAAATTATAATCTATATTTCAGTCAGGAAACTTGAATATATTGCACAGTCACTTACTACACTTGTGACTGACATGGCTGACAACTCTCACTAAAATCCTGGAAAAAGTTAACTCTTATATTCACCTGAGCTGAATCGAAGGCAGACAATCTTTCAATATTTTATGACAACCTGTTAAACTCACAACTGCTATACAGGTGTACACAAGATAGAATAATGAAAAATGCACACATAAATTCATTAAATATCCAAGCTAAAATGGACATCACAATTGTTTTAAACTGCCTTCAAAAGATGCAACTATCTTTTTAAGGCTCGGTTCAAATTTTAAAAGAAGTGTTTCTGTGTCATAATTTCACAAGAGGTGACTGACTGTTGGTTTGTAATGCCTCAGCTTCAATGTCAAACAGTAACCTTCTTCAGCCATCCTGTCAGCTGCACTTTCCAAAGAAAAAAAAATTTAATCATGAGAGTTAAAAACTATGTCACAAGTTCAAACTACACTGAAATTCAAGTCAAGCAAGGTCTCTGTACAAAACCTGCTACCTGCCTGCTGTTGGGCACTTCCAATTATTTCCAAATACTTCCAAAAGCAGATTTACTGTTCACAGCATATACTAGTTACTTACTACCACCGCAAGCACTAAAATATGTATGTATGAGGGGAAGTATTTTGTCATGAATGAGACACCGAAAAGTATATAAGGATTTAAATGAAAGAGGACTTCATGAAACTGGAAAACAAAATTATTAAAAAAAAAAAAAGATGAAATTAAAGTTTTACTGGCAATATACAACATTCAGAATACAGGAGTAGAATCCATACACATTTTTTTGGTATATCTTAGCATAAAAGCCAAATGAATAGCTTTATTGCCCCTACAGCTCATCAAACAAAACCAACCATTCAATATTTGACCTAAATAATAAAGAGTTTAATACTATGGATATCCTCTCTTCTTTCTGTGTTTTCATACTTACCATGGTAGGAAAGAAGTTACAAAACATTTATAAGTATAAAATGCACTAATGGGAAGCAAAGTAAATGAGTTTTAGAAATAGTTTTTTGGAGGTCATGCAGAAACTTGGCATTTAACAGTTTTGAATGGAAAGCTATAACTGACTCAGTTAAGATGATGGTGCATTTTTTAAAATATTTTTTTCTAAATGCATTTTTCTCTTATGAAAGCAGGTGTATTCGTGATCAGAATTTGCAGAACATCTTCCCGTGCATAGAAAGCTAGCGATCATCTGAGTTCATATCAAAGCCCTTAACCTGAAGAAGGCAATGAAGAAGATGTTTTGCTGTCTCAAGTTTAAAATGGAATTTTATTTCATTTTCAAAAGAGGAATAATCCCTCTGTTTCACTGTTCCTGAGATAGGACTTTTAGTAAAAGTGGTTTATTTTACACTCTCCTGCTTTATGGAGCACACCAGTATGATCAGTTATAGGAAACAGAATTTAGTAGTGATGAGATTCTAAACTCTGAAAATAAAACAAAGAGGAGGAGTTGGAGGGAAATTAGGTGTTCACTATCAAAAACTAATAACTGGAGTACTATGCCCAGTTTTGCAAATCACATTCCAAGTTACATGTGGATCAGCTAAAGAGGACTTGAGAGAAGAGCAACACAGAAGATTAGAAGTCTGTTAAGACTAACGAAGAAAGAACTGAAAGAACTGTAGATATTTAGCAGCCAGAAAAAATAAATACATTAAAATAAATAAATAAATAAATAAATACATTAAGCACTGCAATGAAATTTTAGGGAATCATCTATATACATAAGGTGGCAGAATAAAAAGTGAAGGCTTTGAATTGTGGCAAGGCAGTGTTTAGGCCTGAGTAGCAGAAAGTTGCTTGCTTTTCTCCAGCATTAAGGATATTTAAGCATTAGTATGAATTGCCTAGACTTGTGGAATCTTCATCTTTGAAAGCTTCCACAATAAAGGTTATGTAAACACCTAGAACAGATGAAATATGCTGATCTTGCCTTGGGGCAGAGAGGTGACTTTTTAAAGTTTCTTCCAATCCTGTTTTTAATGTTTGTTTTTTAGGACAATGTATCACCTGCTGCAGATAGTTTCTGTTTCCTAGACTTGCAAACATTCACAGCAAACATTCACTTGCAAGTCATTCACAGCAGTCAATATGAAAGAAATTACAGTGATTAAACAGTAAATGTCCTGTGGCTATTTATACCTGAGCTGAAGCAGAGTTACTACTATTGTCAGCTGACTACATCTGAGGTGTCAGTACAGAGTGGAGAGAAAAGCAAACTGCCAGAATTTGATAAACCTGACATGTTCCCACTCAAAACATCTGGGAAGCTGCAGATAGGCAGCCTCACAATTTATATTTTTGTCAAATGTGACTATCACTAATGTTTACAAAACATCTGTGTTCAAGGAAGAATGTAGCTGTTTCGTACATGAGCAATGCAAGAAACTTAAAATTTCTTCATCATCAGAAGTACAAATACACAGGTATAATCATACTTGGGTGTCTCATGGTGAAGAATACAAAATCACCCCAGAATCACACAGGCATAGCCTGCAAAATTGCTTCTGATCCAAAGAATCTGCAACATCAGATGCATATGAACTCAGCACTTAAGAAAGATGGTGCAAATTCAACAAAGAACGTAGTTTTTCAGTACTGTAAAGACATTCTGTATTTGTAATACTTTCTTTTTGCCTTTTTTCATCCACTTTTATCTGGAATGAAAGAAAAGAATCTATATTTTTTAGCTTTCCTTGAACGGCCTTCTTCCATTTTGGAGAAAAGAGGGACAGTGCAGTAACACAGTCCTGCTTCAGACCACTTTTTTCTATCTTCTCCTAAGTAGCATAAGTTGCCTTGCTCACTGATCAAATATTCACAGGGACAATTTGGCTTATTTAATGTTTTAAGAAATTATTAGTGTTTGATAAACACTTTGTTATCTGAAAGGCTTATGTTGTGTTGTGGGTTTTTTGTTTCTTTGGGTTTTTGTTTTGTTTTGTTTTTTGTTTAAGAAAGAATGGTATGACAAAACAATACCTCTTTATGTACAGGAGAATCTGGTTCCCTCTAGTGGTTTATTATAAATTAGCACTGGTCCAGATAAGGATATAGTGACAGAGATAAGGATATAATGACAGCAGCACATGGTAGGAAAAGAAGTATTTGGAAGAAAGTCAAACTCCACATGATCACACAAACTACATAAAGTGCTCAAATCACTTTCTACCTTCTGTCCCCAATCCCTTCAAATTAAATTTGGAAAAATGGTAGTAATGACATCAGTAGCGATGACTTCCACTGCTTTCAGAAATCATTTGTCACTTCCACATCCAAAAGTCTCCCACAATATTTGTTCTTTCTTGAACCTCACCAATTTCTGCTTTTTCATCATGGACTAATTGCAGATGTCATGATGTCCAAAGGGAAATGGAAGCTACAGCATGCTTCTGTGCTGTTCCATCTACACTATTATGATGTAAAAATAATAAAAAGTTATATTAAAATAGTTTGATAAAAAATAATAAACCTGTCTTTTGTTTTCTCACTGAATTAAGTGAACTTCCTCTTTTGTCTCATCATGACAAAAGAAAAAACTTACTAAATCCACATAACTGAAACCCTTCTCTTTCCTGTCTATGAAGACTCTGAAATTTCTTCTTGAATGTGTTTCTTATTCAATATATTGGAATAGAAGCATAATAGGATAGACTTATGAATCAACATGGAAAAGAATGTTTTAGTCTTACCAGAGATATCATCATCTTCATTCCAGCCTGGGCGATTCCCTCTTTCTTCCACTATTGTGCTTGTCTTCTTCTTTAATAAATACTGGCGTCCAATTGTCATCTTCCCAGCACGTTTTGCTCCCTTCACAATGCTTTTTGAGAAGGTACTATAAATTCACAGCAATAAAAATATTTAGAAAGATTCATATAATTCTCCTTGATAGAACGTACAGATTTTTATGATGAACTCACCAAACACAATCTATTTTATATTTTTTCATTCAATATAATGGCAAAAATCACAACTTCCAGAAAAATAACTACCCATATCAATTTTTAAACATCTATTTTATTATTTTGAGATGAATTTTTGTCTGTTACATCTAATGGTAATGAATAAGTAGTCATCATTTCCTTTAGGTATTTGTATTTTGCCACTAATGTGATAAAACTGTGAAATTGACAAAGTAAAGGCAGGAAAAATAGAGATTACTGTTTTAGGATTTCATGAGTAGCTTGGGATTCTACTTCTGTGTGTCAACAATGCAATAATCAACAGAGAATCCAGGAACTACCAGTCAGGAACAGACTAATGATCCATCTAGTTTAGTAAATAGTGATGTGCAACAAACTTCAAAAGAGGACCCAAAGCTCAAACTCTAAATGAAAAAACACTGAGAGATTGTACCGAGGGTACAATGAATTCTAACTCACTTTAGGTTATTAACTTATAAAGTAATACACAAGAAATCAGTTTTTTTTTCTGTTGACATAGTTTGCATAGCTGAAAATGCTACTTAAATTGTCTATGTTTCAAACCATAATGAGATGCTAGCTCAAATTTACTACAGCCAGAAGTTTGGATAAATAATATATTCCCATACCAAGTCAACTAATCTACCTTTTATTCAGTAAATATATAAAAAAAAAATGAAGAATAGCAATTGGTTATTTTGATTTTCCTGAAAACTGCTTGCATGATTTTCATTTCTGCAAAGCTATCAGATTTTTCAATGTATTTGACTAATAATAAACAAGAACATCAGTAATGAAAGAAGAATGACTATACCGGAATGAAGTGTTCTTTTCTTTTGGTTTTGGTAAAATTATCTGTGGTGCTGTTTGCCCAGCTGCAAATGCAAAAGTGCTGAAGATAGATTGAGGATAACGGAACTTCATTAACTGTTTCTTAAATATTTCCACCACTTCAGGACTTACTTCTTCATCAAATGCTACTTTAATTAACTGCATATTAAAGACATGGCATGTTAGAAAGTAAAAAAAAAAAAAAAAAAAAAAAAAAAAAAAAAAAAAAAAAAAAAAAAAAAAAAAGAAAAAGTTTATAGAATTAAAGAAATTAAAAGATCCTAAAATGTGTTAGCAAAATTTCTATACTTATGAAGTACTGCGGCCATGAGAAAACACAAATATATGCACATATATATTTTTGATTTTGAGGAACGTTACAAAGCTTACTCATTTTTTGTATAAGTCTTCCCTTTAAGTCTGAATACTAAGAGATTTTCACTAAGAAGCATCTGGAATTCTCATAATATGAAACAGAAAATATTTTGGTAAATCCAAGTAGTAGTTCTGGCACTAAGACATCTACAAGAGTTCAAATACTAGCCACATGGGACAGCTTAGCTTTGAAATACTCTGCCAGTTTTGCCATACACTGGGAACTGAAGTTGGTATTGGACTTCAAAGACTCTTGTCAAACCAAAAACTTCAGCATTCTAATGTCAGAACCATTATACTTCCATTACTTACTCAATCCAATTTTTGCATCACTTTGCAAAGTATAAAAAATTGCTTATAATAAAAAATGTCATAGTGAAATCTGATCCTTAAAAAGGAACTCACCTTGTGCATTTGGTCTACACTGATCCATCCAACCCACTAAAATGTTTCTTGAAAGGTTTTGGGGAAAAAAAAAAAAAAAAAAAAAAAAAAATCCCATCCCATCATCCTCAGCCAAAAGAATGACAGTCAGGGGGAAGAAAACTTTTTTTTTTTAAAAAAAAAGAATGAAAGTAAGGAATCTGTAAAAGGGCCCAAAAGGCCCAACTTTTAAGAATGTGGAAAAATCAAATGAAGTATCTTAGAGCTTTATTTCTGAACATATAACTATACAACTTTTGAATGTCTTTTGTTTGCCACCTAGAAGGTGGCTTTTTCTTCACTTCACTTCACTTGACTTGACTTCACTTCTTTTATGAGTACGTTCCAAATTACTAATAACTCTGTTGTTCTAGGACCTCTTTGAAAGGAGCTTTTGAATCTTTAGGGGTTATACTGATCTGAAGTTTTGAAGATGTTAAATAGCATAACTACTGCCAAGACCTGCTGAAATTTGTCATTAATAAACAAAAAGGAGGGGCTACCTCATAATGTATTGAACTCCAGCTGTTACAAAGGGAACAGAAAGTAAACTGTTTGCTGATTGTTTTTGTTCTTATATCCTAATATAAAACTATGCTAAACAAAAGCAAAGATGATTGACCAGAATCCAGCACTAAAAACACTGAGCTGTGTCTGTGTTTAGCACATCAATGAGGCATGCTAACTATTTCTGGTAAAAACATTTCTGGAAAATAAAAGTCCTGATTCAGTCCTCTCAAAAGCCCTCAAGAACAATTTTCTTTCAGTCTGAGTGTCCCTTATTGTAATGGACTAATAAAATGCTGATGATCTATTTTGTTCTCAGATGTTAGGGTTACTGTTGTCAATGAAAATATACTTGTGCAAACAGCCAATCCAACAAAATATTTCTTAAGTACCACAGTTTGATTTCAGTCCATTGCATAAAATTCACTGCCTTCAACTTGCCATCTCTTAGGGTTTGACTCCAGTTAAGCTCACCACTAAGAAGCATTTATCATAGAATCATAGAATCATAGGGGTTGGAAGGGACCTCGAAAGATCATCCAGTCCAACCCCCCTGCCAGAGCAGGGTCACCTAGAGTACATCACACAGGAAGGCGTCCAGGCGGGTTTTGAATGACTCCAGTGAAGGAGACTCCACAACCTCTCTGGGCAGCCTGTTCCAGTGCTCTGTCACCCTCACAGTAAAGAAATTTTTCCTGATATTCACCTTGAAATTAGATGAATTTAGGGGAGACTTCAGAGACTTTGTAATTCCTGAATGTTGCCTACCCCTGTCAATCATCCTGCTGTACAGGCTTCTGCTGAACACACTGAGGGGGATCCTACACACAGGAAACTACCAGGAAGTTAGTCTGTGCAAGTCCTACAGAGGCTCATTGGTTCTGGCCAGTGGTGGCTATCCTAAAGATTCTTGGAAGTGCAGCTTCCATGTAAGATGAAACATGACTTTCTACCATTTTTTTTTTTTTTAAATAGAAAGATGATAAAGTAACAATTCTTGAGAAGAAAGCAATATTTATAGTTTTTCCATATTCTTTCCATTTAGCTGGAAGAGAGAGAAACCATCTTTTTACTGACCTTCCTAGGCCTCTACTTACATTAAGAGACTGGACCCCAAATAGCTCTTTTACTGGATCCAAAACAGAAAGGTGAGGGAATGAGTTAAATAAAAAAAAATATATAACAATGGTAATGCTCTGTAAATATCAACCAGGCCAAGAAACACCAGTTTCTGTAAGAAGACAGCACTGCCTATGCACTTTACAGGACAGAAAACTGAACTCTTCACAAATATGAGGACAAAGTGCTGCTCCTAAAATATTTTGAGCTGACTGTGTTGTCACATGAATTTTTACAAAACTTCCTTTTACCTGAAAAGTAGCTGATGTGATCTGGAGCCCTTCCTGCATACTCTGCTGCAGCTGGTTCTGTATAGTGATCTTCTTCTCCTTTGTAACAGATGCGATAGGAAAGCTCCGGATTACTGTCTGCTCTCCAACTAAGGATCATAAAATTGTATTTACAGATACATGTTAGATCACAGAATCACATTTGGTTTGGCCACAATGTACTTTGTATAGTTAGAAATCAGTAAGTACAAAGGAACATGAAAATAACAGTACAGAAGTAATTTCAGGCAAAATACCTGAAAAGTTGTAAATTCCTAAAGTATTATTTGTAACCTGAATTTCCACTTAATTTCAGCAGGGATGATTAGAAAAACATTCTCCCTCCTTTTGGATCTTTCTACACAATGGAAATGCACCCCCAAAATCTAGATTGATAAGTGATGAAGAAACAGTCTCAAGCTTATTCATATTTTATATTGCATTATGCAACTTATAAGCAACAAAGTATATAGACAGCTGTCTTTACATATGACTGTGATCTTCCCATTATAAATTTATATTTCTGAATAACAATCTGCTTAGAAATGGTAGATGTCAAAATAAGAGATTTATCTTTCTGAGGAGTTATTTCCATTACATATGAAATAGAATACGGAATTTATTTATAATCATTTTAGGGAGAATACTAACTCATTAATATTCTTCATTTCACACACTTCCAGTATCTGAAAAAAACCCCATTTAATAAAAAGCTAGGGGTAGTGGAACCTGCAGATCTAACACAGTATGTATGTTCTCTCTTAGTGGTGAAGAAGGTTACAAACGTTGCTCTGTAAAGTAGCACTATTAGACCAACTTTACAGGTGGGACTGAGATAATAAAGGTACCAACCGTTTTGTGCGTTCAAAGTCTATGGAAATTATGAAGGTATGGTCAGGTCCTTATTTTCTGTCTCTAATTTTAGGTAGTCCATAAAAGCCCATTATACCATGTGACAGTCTACTGGAGCTTCCTCTAAGACACGTACATATTATGATTCCATATTACATAAATTACTGAAGACAGCACTCTAAATATCTATCAATACACAGGAATACTCACTTAGCCTCTAATCCCTCCTCTGAAGAAATAAGCTCCCGTTAAGTTAAATGCAAAATCAATCATTGTAATATCTAGTGATAAAAATCCATATTAAGAGATTATACTTATCTGATAAACATGAAAAATTATATTTATTTTGATATTGATGCTTGGATAGTTGGATAGGTCAGCTCAAAGTTCTGCCTCTCTGAAGGACTGCAACTATCATTGCTTAATTTTTCTTACCCAGCTGATCATGAGGAGTGCCTTTAAATATAATTCTGTAAGTGGTAAGGAACAATGCTCCTTCAGCAGGGAGGATGTGAGGACCTCCAAGCAGTCCTCCTGTAGCTTCCTCTCTGCCATCAGGATCCAGCAGCACACGGAGACCTTCACAAACAAATTCTTCTCCTGGCAGTAATGTTGGTCGTAGAATTTTGGGCTGATACAAATAAATGAAAATATAAGGGTAATGGCAACTTCAGTGTTATACCTCAGTCAAATTAAAATATTTGGCTTTAAAAGCTTCAAAACAAAATTGTTATGACACTGAGTTCAAAGAACGGAGATGGAGTTTGGACATGGCTCTTGAAAAACAGTGGGCATACAACAGCCTGTTTATGATCAGAAGTTTGGCTCTGCGAGTTTTGTAAGTTCATATTTCAGGAGACCTAAGCCAAACGCTTTATTTATTACTGGTGGAAATTTTCTTTCAATGTTGTGATCTTTCCTCCTAACATTATGAGGGGGGGAAAGATGACTACACTGCATTATTCTAATATTTGTAAAGAATACAAATATGTTTCAAAATACTTGCCTTCTGTATTGGTGGAAGCCGCCTACTCTCCCGATGGACAGCCTCCAGGGTCTCTATGTGCATTGCTACAATGCCTGGAAAGCAGTAATAACCATAAATGAAGTCTCACATAATATGAAAGAGAAAGCTGCAATGTAATTAAAACTCTGATACTGTGAAATTCTCAAACCTAAACATCAAGGAAATAATTATTTTAAATTCAACCACAATTACAGTAGACTAGATTTCTTTTCTAGACTAACTCCACTGAAAGTCACAAACTAAAAAGTGCATGTGTCTCACTAGGAAAAAAAAAAGCAAAAAGAGACTACAAACCAGTTTTGGTCATAATTCTTACCAGGTATCATGCAGTGAAGACCCTTGATGTGATCCTGTGTAACTCCACTCTCTGTGCAAACCTTGTCAATAAATCTGGTGATGAAGCGTACAACTGCGTTTGCAACATCATTGTTCTCAGAGTCCTCAAATCCACTCTCAGTGTCATAACTCTCTGCAACACTGCCTGCAATACTACAGACATAAAAGAAATTTCAAGTGTGAAAAATTCAGCTGGTGATACACGTATACCTGGCTAGACACAGACAAGCTGTGGCTTGTTTTTTTGTTTGTGTTTATTTTTTAGTTATAATGAATAAACTTTGATAAAAGCATGCAGTGCTACTACAATTACATCATGCTTTCACTGTCATTAACACTGTCAAAACTGCACGGATGATAACACAGGAGAACTTTCATTCCATGAGTCCAGTGCAGACAAGCCCAAAAGAGAAAAAATGCTGCTTGGAAATAAGCTCAGTGCTCTCCCTTCACAGTCAGGTCACTTATTTGCAACCCACAGTAAAGAAATATCCAGTTACATAGAGAAGGATACATTAAATTATTCTTTTGGTTGCAGAGCAAAGCATTCAAAAGCTAAAAGACCATAAAGCAGTTTTCTGTGGATCACATAGAAAACGCAAGCAAGTCAGTGAGAAAGGTACATTGAACATCTAAAAACACTTCCCATATAAATCTTAACAACACATATCGCAATGTGTCTACTGTGCATGTCCTAATGCCTCAGTTTAGAGGTATTTACTCAGCAGAAGTGGGAAGTTATGGGGAGTTTGATACTGACAGAGCCTGCCTATCTTTTACTAGATGTCAGTGTTCTCACGCAGTGTTCTAGAACTTTATCAGGTGGGCATTCTGACAGATCATAGGTGATAAGAAAGACAATCAATAGAGGAAAGCTTGTTATGAATTGCACTGGATTTGTATGCTAGAGAATTGTCCTGTTTTGGGGTAAATAGAGCTGGTTCTGCTCTATGATTTTACTTTTTAGCTAAAGCTCTTCTAATTAGCTGCTCTGTCTGAAGTTAGCAGTGTTTTCATAAAGTATCTGGCTTTAGCAGTGATAAGACTTCATGTTTAGAGCTAATGCCAGGGATTTGTGTGCAGACCAAGGCCACTGCTAAGCTTGGATCCCACAGGCAGGATAACTGACCCCAAGATTCACCAATGGGGTATTCCATCCCATATCTGTCATATCCAGTAGAAGCTGAAGGATCAGGAGGGGCAAGGCCTTCTGTCACCCCTTCTGCTCTTCTTTTTTTTCTTCTTCTCTTCGGTCTTCTGCTGCTGGGCTGCTGGCTGCTTCTGCTGCAGTGCCCGGCATCTGAGGAGGACTTCATCCACCCTGCCTTTGATCCTGAGCCCTGTGTTCCTGAACTGGGTTCCAGAATCCAGCTCCTGCACTGGTCACCTTCTGTGGCTGAGTCTAGCATGGGACCCTCTCCCCAGGGGCTGCTCCCCAGCCGGGGGTGACGGTGACGTGTTGCCATCAGGGAGGAGCTGGGTTCAGGACTAACCTTGTATATATTTGTACATAGTCTAATTTATTATCACTATTACTATTATTACTAGTGGTAGTATTAAAACTGTTTTCTTTTCTTTTCTAATCAACAAGTCTCTCTCCCTTATTCCCTTTCTCTTTACCTTTTGGGGGTGGGGGGAGGGGGTCAACAGGGAGCATCTGTTACAGGTCTGGGGGCTGCCCTGACCCCAAACTGTGGCAAGAATAAAAACTAACAGAGTAGTTTTCTGGGCTGCTGTTTTCTTTCTCATCATACCCTTTGTTTGTCTTCAGCAAAGACAAGTCTGCATTTCTAGACTAAAAATTCCTACTGCGACAATAAAATTTTTATGTTACTTTAAATGGTGGTAAATTACTAATAGAGAAGATACTGAAATGATGTGGCATTTAGAATAAGTCCTGAAAATTAATCAGATTTTGAAAACTGTAGCCCATTCTGACTGCCACCAAACTTGCATACCCACCTGTTTGTGACAATACTGTTGCTTCCACTCTCCCAGTCACCAGCAGCCGATGTTCTCAATAACTTGTTCTTACTTGTATCCAGTGGTACCAGCAGGTAGACCATGAGGTTAGCAAAATGAATTGCCTGACTGAAAACTGTACTTTCCTCATTCTGGACTAGCTCCTGCTGCGTTTGTTTATTAAGAGTTGGCCATAATCGCAACTGCTCAGCAGCCAGGTCCATTGCTGTCTTATCCTGGTCTGGACCTACAGAATTTTTCTCCTAGAAGACATACAAAGATATAAAAGAAGTAATAAAGCTATGACTTACAACACAATGTTTAGTCAAAAATTTGTTAAATTGTTTATTAAGCATATGCAGGTATTTAAATTACATAGAAAAAAGCAAATAACTTTTTTCTATCAAGAAAAAGCAAATAACTACACTAAATAGGGTTTAAGGAGTTATGCGGATAGTAACTGAGCTTTCAAAGCCGTTTACTGAAATATGCAAGTAGCACAATGTGGACAGACCTATACATAACAACTTTTTCTATAGTATCTTTTTTATGCTATATAATCCTCCATGTTTCTTCAGAGTGGTTTACTGATTTTAATATAGCTGCTCTCCTCAGCTTATCCACTTAGCTCACATAAGAACCAGCATAAAGCAAAATGAGAAATAATATGCAGCTCATTGCATGATGTAGGTGATATTCTGCAAATTCCTAGGAGGTTCACATGAGGCAAACTTTTATGTAAACAGTTTCCAGACCAGCTGCAGCATTCATATTTTATATATTGGAATCTAATTCTAGCATTTTCTTGAAGCAAACTAGGTAGATGGCACATATTCAAATTATATTATAGCCTGCGGAAATCTGAATAAAGGAATCTGGCAGCCAATATTAGTGACCTAATACCCAATGTTAAATCATTAAAGGACTAGGTATCTTATAAATGCTTTTTCCATATTAAGTGAAAATTGAGCTAATTTTCCATATAGTCATATATAAGGATATTTAAGTAGATTAAGTATATAATATATATTTAAGTAGATGCTTCCTTCTAAGTTCTACTGTCCTTCGCATTTTAGTTTACATAGTGTCAGATTGGAAGGGTCTCCCCAAACACAGTCCACATTTTCTTTATATCCCTGATATGTCTGCAATATGTTTAGTTTTTCATTCTGACTACATTTCTGGGAACACCTCGGTCTATTTTATTTCTCATTATGATACTGTATGACTTTGGGTAGCATACTTTTTTTTTCAGTCACACAGTAATGATACTTTTGTACAAGAAGAGAGAATACAAATGACTCATTACTACATGTATGTGCTCCTTCTTAAAAGGAAAAAATAATATTTAGTATGCTGCAGGGCTTCCCATTATACTTTCATTTTCCCATTAGAGATGTACTTTCCTCCTGCTGAGAGAGACAATTTGTGTTCTGGAAGATTTGTTCAAATAGATTTTAATAAAGCAGACTGAATGCCATGCAACTGAAGCTACCCTAGGGTTTGGTAATAGACTAAACTGAACACTGGAACTGCTGTTAGCTTAGGTTGGTCACATAACAGAACTGCTGCTGGCTTATAACAGTTACATGATAAGGTACTACTCCCAGGAAAAACATATACCTCAAAGTGTGGAAAATTATAGAAAAAGTGGTTGCATGAAAAAATCATAAGCAACATAAAATTATACTGCTTTGCAGATAAATGTACAGTTTTGTTACTTTTCATGTTATTGCATGCTGTTTAATATGGTCAAAATGAAAGAAAAATGTGTAAAACTGGAGAACCCAATTTAGCTCTCCATAACTTATGAGACAATTAAAATGTGAATAAAAATACTACTTTGATATTTAATACATTCTCCTACCTTTTGTCTTGACTGTATTGTATGGTTGTCATCTTTGGCTGTAAGGTAGAGGGAGCGAACTTGACTTTGCACATTGCTATAGAAGGTTGTTTCCCAGAACTGTTGGTTAGTCCAGATAGGATGGTCTTGCACACAGGTGTAAGCAAACTGACTAACTCCAGGTGCTAATTTCTGAAAGCAAAAAACACGCAAAATTAACTAATTAGTCCTATTATTTCCTTTAAAGTACTGAAATACTCAAGTATCCTTGAGTATTGTAATATATGCATATAAAATCAGTTGTACAGACTGAAATATACAATATATACCATCTTTTCCACTGCAAATAGGAAAAAGAAATTATCTCCATTTTTGTGCCATTAAAGAAACTGGCATACAGTTTCAAAAGGAAGCTAGTATACAGGTCTGATGCCAGTGCAAGGCATGGCTCTCTTGATTCACAGTCTAAAAAGCAGGATAAATTCTGTGATGATAGGAGAGAACACATTTCTAATAGAAAACGTTTTCCTTGCTAACAAAATACAGCACGTTTAATAACCTAGTCCTATAACACAGAGAGCAGTATTCAAAGATGAAAATTATTTCTCCTTTAATTTAAAAGTCAGAACTACAGTAATGAAATAAAAAAATAATTCTAAGCAGCAACTGAGTCCTTCCAATAAACTGCATTTGTTGGAACAACAGAAGATTAGATAAATTTTCCTTGCCATTCTTTTCTACTGCACTGTATGACCCAAATCCCACTCCTGAAATCAGAGTACTAAACTGGGTATGCTCTTTGAAGTCATAAGGTCATGATCCCTATAAGGTCTCAAACAAAACCAGAACTATTACAGCATTACTCGTTATGAATGTACCATTTTTTTCAAGCAGGCCTCTTTATTGAGGTAGCACTAGTCTCCCTGTGAATCATTTAATACTCTTGTTAACTACATACAACGAAAGGAAATGTATTTCAATGACATGAATCATGAAGAATGAAATACATTATACATTCTTACTTTTTTGGGGGGAAAAAACCCCAAAACATTTGTGTCACACACTGCATATAGCAAAGAAGCAGGTTATCTAAATACCTGCTTATGATCGTTTCTGCAGTAGAACTGAAGAATAAAGTACATTCCTAGGTTCCTCATTTAATGACTTTCACTCAGAATACTGCCCATACCTGAAATGCACACTGTACCTAGAAGTTAAATTTTACTTTAAAAATTATGTCACTTTCCTGTAGAGCATGAATACTACTCTAATATTTATAATTGTATAGTTGTACACAACAGCCAGTAGATATAATATTTTCTCAGTAGGCACCCAGGCGTTCCCGTGGAAGGCTAGGAAATTACAACTGAAAATTTTAAAATCTGCTTCACAGATTTCTGGTTTTGCAATTCTTCGAGATGTGTTTTCCACACTATGCTCTTCCAAGTACATCATGAACTGAAAGTCCTGATTATGTGCCATGTACTCATTCCCTATCAAAGGTCCTTTGAAATGGTATGTTTTGAGGAAATGATATGTGATATGCTACTAAAATTTACCCGACTGAAATACCTCCTTGCAATTAACCACCAAAATATGAGAAATACAATTTTTATTTAATCACACAGTATTTCATCCATTTCTTGGTATCCTGTTACGAAATCTGAACGCATGGAAGATTCAAATTACATTAAATGTGACTTTGTTTATTTAACACAGATTGAACCAGAAGATAGCTGGTCTGTTGAACAGATTCCCAAGTTTCAGTTGTGACCCAGTTTATGGTAGCTCACAGGAAATGACAACTGATCACACAGTAATGGCTCCCATGTGCGTTCTAGCTGTTCAATCACAGAAGAGGACAGCTCAAATAAGTATCCTATTGATCTTTGTATTGACTGCTGGACATCCCTTGAAAAAATCTCAGGCATACAAAACACAGACTAACTCAAGACTATGTCAAGCGTGTTAATTAGCAGAACAACAAACTGCATGTGAACATGAGTCTTATAATTGGAGAAAATGCTAAAACAAAAAATACACAGGATGATTACTTCTATCCTCCTGTAAAGTCACCTCCTTTATAGTAATCTAAGTGCTATACACATTTTGTATTTTTCAGTGTTGGTAGGTGTGATACAGTTCGCTTAAAAAGGCTTCATTTTTTCAGCTATGCTAATGAACCCATGGTCCACAGAATGGATCTGGTCCAGTTGTTCACATAACTCCAAATCCAGATGCACAAAACCTGTTACAGAGGAACAGGGATGAGAGGCAAATCGTGGACCATTATTATGGACAATGCATCTTGAAAGCAAGTTACTGCTAAAGCCATATTATTTATCTTGATTTATTCTTTATTTTTTTCACTGGCAGTAATTCCCAGCCACACCAGAGCTACTGAAAGGGAGTATGGAGTCAGGAAAAGGAATAAGTCTGTTTAAGCCTAGCCAGTTGGTATAGTTAACACAAAGGAGAGATTTAACGATCAGCCTGTCCAGTTGCCTTTGACACCTCAGCCCAAATCAGGTGATGGTCTAAACTAGGAAAAGAGGAGGTTATCTTTGGCACAGACCCAACAGGAAGCTTAAGCTCACAACCCTGGGTCCATAGTAATAGTGTTACAGAAATAAACAAATTATTTTCATACTGGGACAAACATGACAGGAAAGCTGAGGGACTTCCAGAATTACAATCTCTTCCTGTGCTTATAATTTAAACCCATGAAGCGCCATGTACAAACCACAATTTTTAAACGATGGACATTTATGTTCAAATACGACATAAACCAACACTGACAGTTACTCCTAGGAAAGTAAAAATAGTTTGTTTAGAGAAGAATGAAAGAAAATGGATTAAAAAGCTAAGTGATCATAAATATTACCCTTCTTATCACCTGCATGTGTTGAAACAAATGGCAAAACTTGACAATGACCAGAGCCAAGACTTGTAGTTTCAGGCTCAGCTCTGCCAGTTACATTGGGTAAAATCACTTTGGATTCTCAGCCTGTTTTGGTTACTTTGTTTGTAGAAAAGCAATATGAATACCAACCTGAAGATGCACACTGCTGCTCCTATGCAGGCAAAATCCATGGACTAAAAATGCTCTTGACACAGATATAAGCATTCCATTAAATGTCCATATTCTCCACCCCAAGAAATGCTCTTTCAGCCCATTTGACTAGAATGGAAACTAGTCTAATTCATCAAAAGGGCCCCAGTGTTTCCAGTTGCATTTAAAAGAATTTGCTCAGGATTTCTCTAATTTAAGTAAAACAGTAGTTAGGCGTTCTTCATCAAGCAATACTACATATCTCAAACAAATCTTCACCTATCTTTCCACGGGACAGCTAAACTACACCAATTTTTACATTCTTTCTCCCTGTCCCAATAAATAATACTGCCAGATAGAATGAATGTAGGAGGCAGCAAAAGACTTTCTTATTTATAAGGGAAGACTTAAGGGCTGACAGCTTAAAAAAGAACCCAGAGAAAAAAAATAAAAATAGTTCTGAGCTGATAAAGTCCTTATTCTAAAGCTATCATATGATAGCTTCAATGAGCACTGAGGTGCAAATTGTAATAAACAAGAGGAAATGAGTTAACTTCTGCAAAGGACACTGAGTCCTTTCAACAAAGTAATGACACCTAAAAACGCCAAACACTCCCTGCACAAATTATGTATGAAAGACAGTACGCATATCAAAATAAGGAACTGCATTCTGCAGTTTGTGAGAACACCGGGGTTTACTATGTGTGACTACATAAACTTTCTGAATTCAGGAATTCTCTTTCCATTATTTCCAGCTCATTGAGTGGCACTGGATAATACCTGCCTAGAATTTTTTCTTTGTTCCCTGACACTGGATACTTCCAATTCTGAAATGATACTTGTGGCTCAGTAAAAAACATGCACCAACTCCATGACTTAGTGCGAAGTGAAGGTCCCCAAAGAGTTCTTCTATGATATTATGTTATTTAGATTGTTTACTTCTGGAAAAGAAAAGCATGCTTTGTGCTGATCATACATCTGACATTATCCTTTACACCACAAAAGCTTAAAGAAGAAAGCAAGTTTATTCTAGCAAGGCAAAGCATTCAGTTATTGACTGTGAAATTGAAAAAGCAGTTACACAACAAAAATTGGAAAACAGAATGTAAATAAACCTGAGACTGCTCTTTTCTCATAGGACGTTGCTGCCTGTCTCTTCGCTACGGAAATGAAAGAGCAAAATCAACACAAGTCCAGTTTACTTTAGAAGTCTCTGACTTACATTTGGGTTATTGGTTTGGATATTTTGTTGAAAAGAGGTGAGAAGGAGGTTGCTGCTGAACTGAAAGAATATTTTCCTTCTCATCTCCTTGAGGAATCACTGCACTATGGATTATCTGTTTGACTTCTGTGAGAAAGCTATTGCAACACTTGTGAAACTACCCACTGATGATCTTTGCATACTACAGGAGATCACACAACTTCCCCTTCCGTCTTGGTTAAGGTCCTCCCTGGAAGTCTCTAAGTGTAAGCTTACAGATAATCCAGGACATAGTGACACTGCTACTTCAAAGAGTTACTCCCAATCTAGGAGATGTTTAAAAAGACATTCAGTCAATTACCACCTACTGCATATCATGAGTAGGTAACACACTGTCCATTCCCAAGATGACATAAAGCAAGTTCTTCATAGGAACATAATTTATGAGTCAGTCCTGCATTCAGATCTATGTTGTGCCCACACAGATACCTGGCAAGTCTAAAAAGACTTCAGTGAAGTCCCACAGGATCAACCTAGACAGACTTACCTGCAGGCATCAGGTTTATGTATCTATTACTTGCAGACAGAACTGCATCACACTGTGCATATATATCAATGCTTGTTAGAGCACGCACATACTCAAACAAGTGTAAGTATATATGAATATGTTTTCAAGTCTGAGTGCTGTGTGCATAACATCAGTCAAAAAATTCAATTTAAACTTTTTTTTTCCCATTTAGTGTAAAATTATACCTGCATGTACTGGACACAAAAACAGGGAGAAAGGTCATAAAAGCATAAACTAAGAACTGTGAAGCCTCTGTTACTTTTTTTTTTTTTTTTTTTAGTTTTGATTTTTAATGCATTAGAAAAAAACACTCAAAATACTACATGAAGATTCTTCAACCTGAAAACCTCAGCAACAAAGGAGAAAACAATTTCCCACCTCTCCTACCTTCAGAAAGC